GGAGGGGATGTGAACCTGGCAGCCATCCACTCCTCCTTTCCAGCTCAGCCACTAAAGCCACAAACACTCCACCTGGCCACTTTTCAAGAAGTACAGTTGACAATCAGAGCCAAATCAGTCGCTAATCTTATTTTGAACAGCTCAGCAGTACTTCTGAGGCCCTGTACTCTTTGGGCTGYTCTGGTGCCTGTTTCAGAGGCATCTGGACGTGGCTGCTGAAGCACGAGTGTTTGTGCCCTGGGAGCAAAGAGCTGGGAAGGGGGCTGTGTTTGGTGAGGTGTCAGCAGGCCCTGCCTTTCCCTTGCAGGGGTGGGATGATCCAGACGAGCGAGCAGTACCAGTTCCTCCATCACACRCTCGCTCTCTACGCTTCCCAGCTGCCAGAGGTGGGAGGCCGCTAGTGCAGGGCTCCCACAGGACTTCTGGCTCCCTGCTCTGGCCTCTCCTGCACCAGCCTTGGGGATACTTTCACTGGGGATAACTTCTGATGCTGCYAGGCCACAGAGCAGCAGCATGAACATCCCTTGGGATGAGTACAGCCGAACCCATGGACACTGTGGCTTTGGACCCTGGGGATGAGCGATGTGTGCTGGTGCAGTGGGTGCTTGAGGTGACATCGCTGCTGCCTCGAGGCAGATTTCACCCACAGAAAGAAGCTTTGGCTTTGGAGAGGTGCAAGATCCTGAAGCAGAAGAGCGAGCTGAGGAGGAACAGCAGTTGGCAGTGCCAGGAGAGCTGTTCACTTTCAGCTGCACACAAACGTTCGCCCCGTCAGACGCAGCGCTGGCACAACTGCCCTGAAATAAACGGAGCCTCTGTCCCGGCTGTGCCTCCTCTATGGGCAGGGCTGGGATGGCTCCAAACATGCACCTGAGGCTCCTTTTGCTACTGACACACCTTGATGGCTTGGTACAACAGGGGCACACTCAGCTCACAGTGTTCCATGGCTTGCTTTCCTCTCCACCTTCACCCAGTACCTTCTCAACAGCCTTAAAGTCAAATCATAGAATTATTAAGGTTGGAAAAGTCCTCCAAGATCGAGYCCAGCTCCWGATYGAATCCCWCTGTGCCCACTAAACTGYATCATGAATTTCCATGKATAGYTGTTTCTYGAACACCTGCAGGGATGGTGACTCCAGCACCTCCCTGGGCAGCCTGCACCAGTTCCTGACCACCCTTTCAGGGAGGAAATTTCCCCKAATATCMAACCCAAACCTCCTCTCTCCCTAGCAGGGGAGATTCTCAAGCACAGTTTGCAAATGATGCATTCCTGATTGCCTCCTGTTACACAAGGGTGGGGATTTTGAATTCTTGGCATTTTTTTCTGAAATCAAAACAAAATAATATTTGGGGTCTATTAGGTTGTCTTTTTAACTGATAAATCCAGGGAGGGGAGATATAGAAGACAGAAAACATTTTGATGTAAACCATGGAGATGGAAATATTCTTTGAAGTATTGTGAAGCCTTTGGGTTATGGGCATCACATTCCTGCTTGGGCAGTGAGGACTGTGAAGGAGATGGGATCTGCCCAGTCTGTGCCCACCCATGCCACAAACCCTGAGGTGACCCCATGTGAGATCCAGGAGAAAAAGGGGAAATCTTCCTTCTGAATGAGCCTGACCTTGCTGGGCTCCCTGAGCTTCCCCAGCTCAGGGCTGTGTGCAGGACCTACCCTTTCACCACTCCATGGGGCCTCAAAATGCAGCTGAACCACTGCCCAATGGTCTTCCCTGTCCAGTTCCTTCCCTTGGCACCAGGAATAAATCCATTTCCTGGCCCTGCAGCAGGAAAAAAAAACAGATCTGCAATAACATCCTTTCACCTGCTGCATTTCCATCATGTGGTACAGMAATGCCCCTGTTCCTAACACCACGTCAGCCCTTCCTCGTTCCCAAGCCTGCCCAGCTACATGCTTTGGGGTGTAACTGTGTTCTCTGTGGGATTTTTACATGATGCTTGGGCTCTTGGAGAGGCTGTGGAGCTCCTGCAAACTCCCTGCAGGTCAATGCATGGCTCAGGACTTTGCCTTCTCAGGTGATTTGGTGTCACACTCGCCTTTAATGGTGTCTCTGGAGAGGTTTGAGTTGTGAGACAGGCTTCATTCAGCATCCCCCTCAAGTCTTTGTTTCCCCACTGCCATCGGGCAGGGGAACCTGCAGACTTGCAGACTGTACCTGGACAGGTTTCCTGCACTCCCTGGACAGCAGGACACACCCCATTTTCCACATGCTTTTGGTTTACCATCCAGAGAAGAGCTCTTAGGGCAGGCTCAGGCCAAGAGCTGCTCGAGGGTCTCCCCAAGGCGTGCAGGAGCAGCGCCAGGATGGCGGCTGGGCCAGGGGTGTTGTCATCCCTTCCCATATTCCCCATCAGGTGCTGGGGGTTTTTCCAGTTCAGCTGTCTGGTGCAGATTATCATCAGTTAAGCARGTTTCCTTGCCTTTTGATCTCAATTTCTACCAGCTCCATTTGTTCCACAGTTACCTGGCTGCTATGTGAGTTCCCTCCATCCTCTGTGCACTGACCAGTGCTGGGGGCTGTGCTGCACCATGGCCTGTGTGTGCTAGTTTGAAAGCAAACCAGCAGGGGGAATTGCCCCCCACAAATATGATGCAAGAGAACCTAAATCAAATTGCAATTTAATAGGAAATATTAAAACAATGCCAATAATACAGAAACAACAGCTTAAACTGACAAAGTCAGAGCACAGCCTGACACCCTGTTGAGCAGGGTGGTGGCTGCAGCCCCGTTGCAGTGATGGATGTGGTCTGGTTCAATGTTCAATGTTCAATGGTGGCTGCAGCCCCGTTGCAGTGATGGCTGTTCAATGGTCAATGGTGGCTGCAGTCCCGTTGCAGTGATGGATGTGCTCTTGTCCAAGCGCTGATCCTGCAGACAGGTCCAGTCCATCTCTGGAGGTCCAGGGCTGGTTCTGGAGTTTCTCTCTTCGGGGAATCCAGTGGGAGAAGTGTCCCACTGTCCCAGAGCCTCAGTTTTTGTGCCAGTAGGGAKGTCCAGTTGCTCCTCTCTGGGCAGGGCATYTCCCAATGGGATGATGGAGTTCCATGGGYCATTCCCAGAGCCCYKGATGGCCCATKAGCAGATATGGCCCCCCCGAGRGTGTTATCAGGGCTGGGTCATGCTGAGGATAAAGAGCTCTGCCCCAGCTGGTTTAACAGCTCATGGAGATGGTGATGGAATACAGACTTTTGGTTACAGCTTCCATGGAACCTAAGACACTGTATTATTGCAAACACAGTGATGTGTTTGCGATACAAAACCCCATCCTGTGCTTGCCCCRTGTCAGGGGTGCAGCAGGGTTTGGTCTGTTCTGGCTGTATAAGGGTTGCCTTTTGGCTAGTTTTTAATTATGACACAGACATGGTTAAGGGGATAAAARGGTTTTACTTCAGTATTTTTTTGGATGTCAGGTGTACAACTTGACACAAAATGTACCTTGCATATAACACGTATATAAGTTTTATAGATTTTTATAAATTAGCATGTTTACTTAGAATTTTCCAATAAGAAACTTAACAAATGAAGTATTATCTCCCAGTTTTAAAGAATTTTCCCTGGGGATGAGGTCAGAGTTYGGTTTACACAATATGTTTTAAAGAGAAGGTTTTAACTTTCAGGTTTAAGATAGTGTAGGGCCCACTGATTCCTTATTGAGGATATTTAGTTTTTCTGCTTAGCAGAACTTCTAAACCAAACTAAAATATTTGGCTATAAGAATTATAAGCATGTAGGTTAAGGGTATATATATATATATATATATACCCTTTATATATATACCCTTTATATATATAAAGGCTATAGAAAATGTCTAAAAATGTATAAAAATATATAAAAGGGTACATAAAAGGAAAGGCAAAAATCAACAGGCATCATAAGGCTATACCTGTGTCCTGAGAAACTGCCCCACCCTGACCATAAAGGGTGCCCAGCAGACAAAGGAAAGGAATCTTTCCAAAATCTCATGCTTCCCCATGCCCTGGGCTAGGATTAAGCAGCTGAGCTCAGCCAGGGGTTTTGGCACAGCCAAGATTGCTCCTGTTCCTCTCTTCCCCCACTTAAAACSCAGGTATGGACCCAGCTGTCCTTACCCTTCTCATGGTGTTCCTGTGCTTCACAGGAGGTACAGCCCAGCCAGGTGGGCAGAGCATGCTGGTACTGGGGCCCTGGGCTGCAGTGTCCTGAGAACCATGTCCTCAGGAGGCCAGGTCCTGCCCAGGCCTCAGGAAGTGTCCTTCCTCCATAGAATCATGGAACATTTTGGGTTAGAAGCCCATCTAGTCACACTCTTTCCACTATCCCAGGTTGCTCTGAACCCTGTCCAACCTGGCCTTGGACACTTCCAGGGATGGGGCAGCCAGAGTTTCTCTGAGCACCTTGTGCCAGGCCATCACAACTCACTTGGTAAAAAACTTCTTCCTTACATCTAAGAAAATACAGGTATGTATAGATATATATGTAARAAATTAGGTATATAAGATACAAGATCATGTCCTATCCACATGACTGTAATTTTGGCCAGGCCTGGGTTTTTTCCCAGGCTAGTAATCCATTCCCTCCCCTTGCAACGACTCCCTTGGATGGGAGGAAAAGCCATGGTGGCCACRTGGCACACATCACTGTTATGGCACACACCAGCACTGGTGATGGCAAGTAGACCCAGAATGCTCCGAATTCACCTGCAGCTGATGAAAGCTTCAGTGTCATGGCACTRCTTCAGCAGGTCCTTGGAAAGGCARAGCACAYRCCAAAATCCAGTGTTTTGAGTATTTAACAACAGCTTTGCTCTCAGGTGAATGATGRTAACCACAGGCTCCAACAGCACCCCTGGGCTCCAAGGAACCAGCGACCAAGCCATCACCGGGAAAGGGGACATTTCAGGGCATGCTTTGATGTTTGCAGGCAGCACTGGGGTGCCAGGATCTCAAGAAGGCCCCATGAGAGCACCTGCAGAACCCCACAGAGGGTGARGCCACCCAGCAGCACTCACACAGAACCAGAGGGAGGGCTGACCTGGTGGCTAGGAGCACTGTGGGACATGGGAGTGAAACCTCTATGCTGCTCCTGGGTAGCCCAGGGGTTAAACTCTGAGCCAGGGGAACAGGAGGATGAGCCAGGGCTGGGTAAAGCCCTGACTTCTTGGTTTCCTTAAGGAACTGGGTTGAGCAACCACATCAAAACCTCCTGGGAATGTCAAATATGCTCTTGTCTGGAGAGGCCCTGGAGCGGAGCCAGCTCTTGCACAAGACCCTGCCCAGTCCCAAACTCTTGGCATGGAGACCATAGGGTGACACAGTGGGGGACAGCGCTGCAAGGTGCAGCCATGGGGACCAGGTTTGGTGTGTGTATCCCTGCATGTGCCTCCCAGGATCCTCTGCAGGGAGCAGAGCTTGAGATCCTGGTTCAAACCAGTGGGAAACAGCCACATGTCCCCAAACCTGTCAGGGCTGGCTCCCCTTGATGAGAATAAGGAAAATAGGGTGGGGGGAAGTTGGGATGGTGTATGAAAATTATCTTCTTTGCTCATTTCTTCATGTCTCTTTCAGCATGGAGATGGTCAACAACCCACTGTAGTCCCTGCTGCGAGGGGTGGGTTTGGTTTGAGCACTGGATGGGCAGTTTCTGGTCGCAGATCCCTGTGATCCAAGGGCAATCTCCAACAGCTTCAGTCCTGCAGGCATGCTGGAGGGAAACCCCAAAGTGGTATAGGGGCATTCTTTGGGCTGGAATGTTACACAAAAATCTGTTTCCCTCCTGTATTTTTGGGGTTCCACCTTGAATGCTGGGTACAGTTTTGGGCCACTCATGACAAGAAAGACACTTCAGGTCCTTGAGCGTGTCCAGAGAACCCATGGGGAAGAGTCTGGAGCACAGGGATGATGATGAGCAGCTGAGGGAGCTGGTGGGGCTCAGCCTGGAGAAAATGAGGCTTGGGGGGGGACGTTCTAGCTCTGCACAACTCCCAGACAGGAGCGGAACAGCCAGCTCTGCTACCAGGGAAAAAGGGACAGAACCAGAGGAAATGGCCTCAAGTTGCATCAGGGGCARTTTAGATTGGCTATTAGGAAGGATTTCTGCACCAAAATTGTTGGTCAGGCTCTGGCACAGTTGCCCAGGGCAGTGGCAGAGTCATCATCCCTGCAGGAAGGTGACCTGTGGACATGGTTCAGTGCTGACCATGGCACTGCTGGGATAACGGTTGGACTCGATGATTTTAGAGGTCTTTTCCAACCTGAACAATTCTCTTATTCGATGAAAGAAAAAAAAAATCTTCAAGCAGAAATTACATACAAGATTTGGGGGGATGATGAATTTTTCAGTGGTATGAGGAGTTATGATGGGGTAATTACAGAAAATAATGATATTTCTGCTTCCTCAGGCCTCCCTTCGGGAGCACAGGGATCCTGAGCAGGCTGCAGCAAAATGCTTTCTGTCTCAGAAAACAAAGGCAGCTTCCCCGTGACTTATAACACATGATGGGAACTCTTTACCACCACTAATTGTCAGGGGCTGAGGCACCCCCTGTGAGGTGACCCGGACCCCAAAGCAATTTCCCTATTTTCARTGCACACATATTTGTCCCAGGCAGCCCCAGCAGTGGATTCTGCATCCTTGTCTCTCGTGAGAGCACGAGCAGCCTCTCCATGCAGGCTCTCCCCAGCAACTGATGGAATAAAGGACCTGGTGTAAAGGAATTGCAAATGGCACCCACTGCACCCCACACTGCTCACCCTGCCTGCTGGCACCCAGCACCTCCATACACCCCTATACACCCCTATACACCCCCATACACCCTTATACAACCTTACAACTCTTACACACCCCTATACACACTATACACCCCATATAGCCCTATACCTCCCCTATACACACCCCTATACACTCCATACACCCTTATACACCCCATACACCTCTATACAACCCTACAGACCCCTACATCTCCCCTATACATGCCTATACACTCCATACACCCCTATACACTCCATATACCGCTATACACCCCTATACACTCCATATACTGCTATACACCCCTATACACCCTATTCTCCTGTACACACCTGTACACCCCTATACACCCTATTCTCCTGTACACACCTGTACACCCCTATACACCCCTATACACATTATACACCCCTATATAATCCTATGCACCCCATGCAGCCCTATACGCCGCTATATACCCCTACACCCCCTATGCACCCCTAAACACTCCTGTACACCCCATACACTCCATATACCCCTCTACACCCCACATCTCTACGCCCAGCATCCCCAGTTCTCCTGCACTGATCACACCGTGACTCTGCACCCTCAGGTACTCAGCACCACTGCACCCCTGTGTCCTGCATTTCCCCCACCCAGCACTGCCCACACTGCCTGGACCCCCTGAGCACCTGCACCCCCCGTACTGCCAGTATCTCTGCCCCCTGCACCCAAACCATCCCTGCCACCTGCACCCAAACCATCCCTGCACCCTGCACCCAAATCATCCCTGCACCCAAAACCATCTGTGCACCCAAAACCATCCCTGCACCCAAACCATCCCTGCACCCAAAACCATCCCTGCACCCAAACCATCCCTGCCCCCTGCACCCAAAACCATCCCTGCACCCAAACCATCCCTGCACCCAAACCATCCCTGCCACCTGCACCCAAACCATCCCTGCCCCCTGTACCCAAACCATCCCTGCCCCCTGCACCCAAACCATTCCTGCACCCAAACCATCCCTGCACCCAAACCATCCCTGACCCCAAACCATCCCTGACCCCAAACCATCCCTGCCCCCTGTACCCAAACCATCCCTGCCCCCTGCACCCAAACCATTCCTGCTCCCTGCACCCAAACCATCCCTGCCACCTGCACCCAAACCATCCCTGCATCCAAACCATCCCTGCATCCAAACCATCCCTGCACTCAAACCATCCCTGCACCCAAACCATCCCTGCCACCTGCACCCAAACCATCCCTGCACCCAAACCATCCCTGCACCCAAAACCATCCCTGCCCCCTGCACCCAAACCATCCCTGACCCCTGCACCCAAACCATCCCTGCACCCAAACCATCCCTGCCACCTGCACCTAAACCATCTCACAGGCATTACCTGGGGAAACTGAGTCCTGAGGCCGAGCACCATGTCAAAGCACACCCTCCAAAGCCACAAAACCAGTGACTGGCTCATGACTGATAAAATCAGCAGCTCGTTGAACTGTGCCCACTGAGGTCCCATCACACCATGATGCACCTCTCTCAGGGCTGCACCTCCAGGTCCCCCCACCTCACCCGGTGTTACCTGAGTCTCAGGGACCCAGCTGGGGCCTCACCACCACCGGTGTCACCTTGCCACACCATCCTCTGGTGTGCACTTGGCCACCAGCCCTGGGCAAGAGGCACCCATGGCCAGGGGCAGCCCCTGCCTTGCCCTTTGGCCAGGTGCTGGTTTTTCTGCTGTGGCTGTACCTCTGACAGGTGATGATGGGGACAGGTAAGATCAGGGGGCAGTGGCGTGGGCTGTGGCCAGGCAGGAGGGCAGAGGAGCAGCCTTGCAGGGTGGCTTGGTCCTGCTGTGYATGCCAATGGTCCCAGTGGCACTCCCAGGTCTGAAAGGAATGAGAGGGACATGTCTTTACAAACAAACTGTGGGGTCTGCTGGTAGATCAGGCCAGATCCTGACAGGTGAAAGGAGCAGTGGAAGGAACCATAAATTCTGTAGGAATTTCACCCATTGACACAGACTGTAACTGACCAAGACTGTGCTAAATCCCTGGACTGAGAAAAAGAACAGAGACACAAAAAATAAAAAGGGGGGGGATGCACATTAGATGGAATATGTATTAGGGGATTTGGGCAGTCTGTACCTCTCCAGTCCTTCAGCCAATGGGGAAAGAGAGAGGGAAATGCGGTCGGGAAATTGGGATAAAAAGGAGGCTGTGCCCTCCAGCAATTTGAGAGATCCCACGGAAATGTCCCATGGCCTCTTCCTCTACTGGAATAAAGTTACAGGACTCCTCTGCCTCGTTTTTGGACATAAACCTCTGGTGTTTGTGGATTAATTTTCTGAACAGGTCCAAGGAGGGCTGGTATAGGTGCAGGATTGGGGTGTGCCCAGCAGCACGGCTGGAGGAGCAGGTGCTCGCTGTGCCAGGGCACGGCCACGGGTGCAGGCCATGTCCCTGGTGGTGTTGGGTGCAGCTGACCAGTGCGGGGTCACTGGGTTCACTGGGGCACAGGGGGGGATGGAGGTGAGAGTGATGGATGCAGGGCTCAGGGAGGTGCAAGGGTTGTTGGGTGCGGGGGTGGTGCCGGGTGCTGGGAATACTGGGGGGGCTGGGGGTGCTGAGGGTGCTGGAGCTGCTGGGGGTGCAGGGGTGGTGCTGGGTACTGGGGGTACTGAGGGTTCTGGGGGTGCTAAAAATCCTCCTTTACACCAGCTGAAGAGGTGCTGGGAGCACAGGAGCGCAGGCTGGAGGGATATCGGGGTGTGGAGGTATTGGGGTCGCAGGGTGCAGGGATGCTTTGGGTGCAGGCAGCAGGGGAACGGGGGTACAGCTGTGTCGAGGGTGCCGGGGGCGGGAGGAATGCGGGGGTGTGGGGTGCAGTGGTGCGAGGGTGCGTCCCCCCTCCCTCAGGTCGCACTACGATCTGAGAAGGCCTTGAGTACGGAGGGTGCAGGGATGCAGGGGTGTCGGGAACTCCACGGTACCCCGAACTGTCCGGGCTGTCCTGTGCCCGGTGCGGCGGGTCCTCCGCTCCGGCAGGGGGCGCGCCAGCGGCGGCGGGGACAGGCGGCGCGCCGGCCCCACCCGGCGCGGCGGTGCGGCAGGAGGGCCCGCGGCGCGCGGACAATACCGGGTGGCGGCGGCGCCTCGGCCTCCATCGGCACCGCTCGGCGCGGCCCGGACGCGTTCGGCCCCGATCGGCTTCGCTCGGTCTCGCTCGGCGCTGCCCGGCTCCACCCCGACTGGCCCCGCCCCGACTCGGCCTCGCTCGGCTCCACTCGGCCTCGCTCGGCCCTGCCCGGCCCCGCTCGGCCCGGCCTGGCCAGGCTCGGCTCGGCTCGGCTCAGCTCGTCCCGGCTCGGCTCGGCTCGGCCCGGCCCGGCTCCGCTCGGCTCAGCTCGGCTCAGATCGGCCCCGCTCAGCGCGGCCCGGCCCGGCCGGCACCATGCTGGCGCTCTTCAACAAGCTGCTGGACTGGTTCCGGGCGCTGTTCTGGAAGGAGGAGATGGAGCTGACCCTGGTGGGGCTGCAGTACTCGGGCAAGACCACCTTCGTCAACGTGATCGCGGTGAGCCCGGGGGCCGCCCCGCATCCCTCCATCCCCGAGCAGCCCCAGGGAGCGGCTTCACCCCTGTGCCTTGGACCCCCCCATTACATCCTCATTGCAACCCCATTGCATCCCCATTGCACCCTTGCGCCTTGGACCGACCCCCCCCCCCCCCCCACTGCGCCCCTATTTCACCCCCATTGCACGTCCTCATTGCACCCCCTGGGCCATTCTCAGAATGTCTCCCCCCATCGCACCCGAGCCTGAAAATGCCTTCGGGGAGGGGTGCAGGGTGGGGCGGGATGCGGGATGCAGCAGTGGGGTGGGTACACTGTGGGGTGCGGGTCCGGGAGGGCCCAGGCGAACCGCAGCGTTTGTCCCCTCATCCCCAGAGCCGAGCGCGGTGCTCGGGGCCACAGCCGGAGCAGAGCCTGGGGAGGGGTCCTGGCACCCCCTGCCCTTCCCGGCGGGGGCCCCGCCAGCGGGCAGTGATGCCCTGGATTGCGGGAGCCTCGGCCCTGCGAGCCGGGCAGCTGCTGCTGCTCTCGTACCCGTAGCAGCAGGCGCTTTGTCATCGTCCCTGCCGCCGACGGGACGCGCAGGTGGGGCCTTTGGCGACCCTGTCTGCTCGGTGCCGTCGGGGTTCCTTGCCTGGGGGCCGGTGGAGGAGATGTTTGCCTGCCGACCTTCCTCGGGGAGCATCCACCAGCAGCAGCGTCCTGTGGGTGCCGGTTGCTCCACACCCAGACAGGGCAGTGACACCCACCTGAGCCCCTCCAGTGCTGGCATCCCCTGGCTGCCCGCCTCGTCCACAGGGTCCCTGCATCCAGCAGCGGATCAGGAGCTGGATGTCCCGCATCCCAAAGCCCAGGGCGTGGTCTCACCCTTGGGGTCTCCCCTCTTGCTTTTTGGGTTGTTCTCACCCTCTCCAGGTGATGCTTCGAGGCGGGAGGACCCCGAAGGGGTGGGTTTGGGGGTTGTTCCCGGGGTTTCGTGGAGGCAGGTGGATGCAGATCCTCCAGTTGCCCTGGTTCCCCCTCTGCCCCTAGTCCCTGCACGTGTCTCCACAGTCCATGCTGGCCATGGCTCTGAAGCAGTGAGTCGTGGCTGCTCATTCAGGGTGCCGGAAGTTCCTGGGCTATCAGGGGATTTTCAGCTCTTATGGGGCTTTTTTGCACTGGAGCCATGCTCTTTGGGAGGTGCTGAGGAACAAAAATGTCCTTCCTGAAGTGTCTGGCGGCAGAGAGAGGACACCCTAAAATTTTTTTCATCCTGGAGATGATGGCACTCTTGCTCTTGAGCTGTTTTGCTGCTGCTTCAGTCTCCTGCTGGTTCCCCCCATAAACCAACATCAGCCTCTGGAGACAGGGAGCTTTTTGGCTCTGGGCCAGTGGCCCTGAGCAGCAGTTCTATTTTCGGAGGACCTCTCCCCACCGTGTGCATGTTTGACAGTCAATTTTTGCAGTCCCATGCCAGGGTGGGACGCAGCAGTGCCACGTGTGGGCTGCTCCTGCTCCGGATCCCCTGTATGTTGCTGCCTGTTAACAGCCCAGGCTGCCTTAAAAATGGCAAAGTTATTTAATGTTGGTTTTAATCACCCAGATAAGCTGTGAAGGGTGTTGGAGCTTTATCCCAGACCTGCTGTGCTGTTCTGCCTGCACAGGGCTGGAAATCCCAGGGCTTGGTGTTGCTGGGCTCCCTGTTCCCCCACATGCCTCCTCCTTTCCCAGCCACATCTGGAGCAGACTCAGCGTGGGCTTTGTGGGGTTTGAGAGTAAATATTTTGTAGCTGGCAATTTTACTGAGGGCAAGACTCGTGCACCAGGACTCTCTGCTTAGGCAGGATTGCTGGTGTAGGGAAAAGGAATTTTGAGGAGTTATAGCAGCTCTTGAGGGGGCTGAAGTTGGCACCATGGCCTGCTGGTCTGTCCTGTCTGTGGTGGGATGTTTGAGACCCTGACAGGGCAGTCGGGCTCAAGGTGCTGAGTTCAGCCTCTCAAGTTATGTGGAAAGTTCAAGTTTCTCGGCAGATGCACACAGAAAGGGGCACCAGCTTTTGAGAAGACATCCTGGAAAGAAGGACTTGTTGGGGACAGTGAAATAGAAGCATGACACCAAAAATGCCAGCTCAACAGGAACTCCCTGAGAAGGGCTGGAGGCGCCTGGCTTTAGGGTGTTGCAATGGAGTTGCTGGAAGGAGAAGTAGCTGTGATTTGGGCTTTGTGGGGGGGAAAAAAATTGAACTGAAGAAGTATGGGGTTTTGGTGTTGTTGGAGAAACCTCACAAGAAGCCTTTGTGGGGCTGGAGCTGCTCTGGTGGGGTTGGCACCATCCTTTTCTTCCAGGATTTGTAGCTGGTTGAAGAGTGGACTCTGGTTCCCTGGAAGGTGGGTGGCTCCTCCAGCAGCCAGGCTGTGGTTGTGCCAGGCAAGGGCTTTGCTGAAGGCAGCTGTGATCAGGGTGACTTCTGGGTCACCTGCCTAGGGATTTTGATTTTCCAGTGCTTATTTTTCATTTTCCTGGCTGTTGGGAGCTGAGGCTTGAAATCTTGCCTGCAAGGACAAGTGAAAGCTGTAAACACATGTGGTCTTGGTTTAACCTGAAGCCAGTGGGCCTTTAGCTGCATTTGATCTGATGGTGACAAGGGTGACTCGAGGGCGTTGAGAGCTCCTCAGCAGGTGCTGGGGCCCAGAACCTGTCAGTGCAGGCCATGGTTAGAAGAGAGTGTTGCTGCTTTTTAACATCACACACATTGCACCTGTGATAGAGCCTTCCAGGAGAGTGAAGCCACAGAGTGCTGGAGTGTTGGACATGGATGGTGGGAGCTCTGGGGCACCATCCCGTGCTTCAGCTTTGCTTGGAGGGTGATTCAGTGCTGTAAGAGGAAGCAGGAGCTCCTGGAGTGAGTTCAGTGGAGGCTATGAAGATGCTGAGAGCATCTCTTAGGAGGACAGGCTGAGGGAGCTGGGGCTGTTCAGCCCAAAAGAGATGGCTGAGAGGGGCCCTCCTCATCAATGTCTGTCAGTGCCTGCAGGGAGGGGTCAGAGGATGCACCAGGCTCTGCTCCATGGTACCTGGCAATGGGAGGAGAGGAATGGACAGAAACTGATGCTTGGGCAGAAACTGATGCCCGGGAAGTTCCACCTGAAGGTGAAAAAGAACTTCTTTCCAGTGCAGTGACTGAGCATTGAACAGGCTGCCCAGRGAGGCTGTGGAGTCCTCCTCACTGGAGATATTCCAGAACTGTCTGGCAATAATGCTGTGCCRTGTGCTCTGGGATGTTGGTTGAACAGGGAGCTTGGATCAGATGACCACCATGGTCCTTCTGACCTGACCCATCCTGTGAAAGCACATCAGCCCTGTGCTTGACACACCAGGATGGTGGGTGGCATGGCAGGTACCCAGCTCTCTGACAGCACTGATGGTGAGGGCATGGCCCCATAGCAGAGCTCAGTGCCTGCTCCCACCCAACCCCAGAGAGACCCCGAGCCCTTCATGAGCCAGCTGACCCATCTTGGCAGTGCCTGAGCCTGGCAGGGAGCTCCAGGTTTGCAGGGTCCCCAGGGATTGCTGGGGAGGTAGAGGAGAGAGTTGCTGAGGGAAATGTTGTTCTGATGCTTTTGCACCAGTCTGTCTTGACCACCCACCTCTTCAGTAACCCCAGAGGTGTCCCTTGCACAGGGTGTGGCAGGGTGAGACCCATGGGTCCACATGCTGCCCCATGGTCGTTCTGCCTCCAGATGCAGCACTTGGGTTGTCCACAGCTGTGTCTTTGCCCTTTAGTTTCACAATGCAAAAGGTGGTTGGTTTTCTGGGGGGTTTCTCCATATTGCTCGAAGAGGAGGAGAGTCTGGCTGGGGCATGTTCTTGTCTTGCTGCTGCAAGCTCTGTCAGCACGGGCCAAGAAAAACGGACAGCGTGGCTTTCCTGAGATCATAGGATCAGAGTGATTTGGGACCTTTAAAGACCACCTTGTCTCACATCCCTGCCATTGGCAAGCACATGCAGGGACATCTTCCACTATCCCAGGTTGCTCCAAGCCCCATCCAGCCTGGCCTTGGACATTTCCAGGGATGGGGCAGCTGCAGCTTCTCTGGGCCACCTCTCGGATTATAAAATATCTCTTTATATCTTATATATAAGTTTCCCTCCGTGTTGGAGCTTGGACATGGGTTTGGCAGGGACTCAAGTGCCACTTGGCAGGAGTGCCAGGTCAGGCAGTGGTGGGAGACACCCAGCCCGAGATGCTTTGGGCTCCCACACAGGGCCATGCTCTGGTGGAGACACAGCTGCACAGGCCCAGGGGCCAGGCTTGCAGCACTGCCATCTCTGCTCTCTGGGGAGCAGGGCTGCAGAGCAACCAGCAAGGATTTATCTAGAGCAGATCGCATCAGTTCGGTGTCATCCTATGCTGGGACAGGTGACAGTTGCCTGGCCATGGTGAGGAGCAGAGCCTGACCACCTCAGCTCTGCACACTGCTCACCAGAGCWGCTGGAGGCTGAGGTGGCTTCCTTGCCTGTGCCCAGAGGTTCTGGGCATTGTCTGAGCAAGAGATGATGGCTAAAATGGCAGGTGATGTGGTGTCCATGTCCGTGTGCCAGGGGATGGGGCTCTGCATGAGCTGGGGGCACTGCTTGCCCTGGCAAAAGCTGAATTCTGGCCACCTCTCCCAGTAACCCAGCTGGAAGGTGTTTGGGCTGGGCAGAAAGGTCACTTGCCTTCTAGGCAGGGCACCAAGGTGGAATGGTTTGGACAGAGTGGTGGGGGATCCTGGCAAAATCAGCAATGAACTGGGGTCTGTAAAGACCTGATCTGCCATTTGTAGCTACAAAATCCATCTTGCCTGCAAGGATTTTTGTGTTTCCCAGTGAAATCCCATTCTTAAGCTGTAAATGTGGCTTGGCATCATCTTCAGGGTCAGCAGGGATGCTACATCCATTACATAACCAAAATTTGGGGGAAGAATGTGTCCAGTGAAGCTTTTGCATGTCTCCAGCTGGGTGCTCTCTGCTTTCCTGGCAATGCAGCTGTGGATGGCTGCACCCTGCAGGGAGTTGAAGATGAGTTGAAGATGTGTCAAAGACACCAGGGTCAGGGGTGGTTGGAGCAGGGAGAGAGGACACTGTTTCCACCACTGCTTTCAGAGAGCAGCTGATGGAGGAGGAGTACCTCTGTGGGTGCTGGGACAGCAGGGAGCACATACCAGCCATGCTGAACCTCAGTGCGTTGCATTCCCAGCTCATTTTGGATAGCTCAGGTGATTTTGTGTCAGCCCCTCAGCCATGGGCAGCCTGGGGGCAGGGGCCACACTGGGAGAGGGGTTTGGGGCAGGGAGCAAGGCTGTGCCTCAATCACAGAGACGTGCTCTCCCACCCATGGGGAAAGAAGAGGTGGCTCCTGTCTCCTGCAGCCCATCCTGGAAGAAGCTTCTGTCACACTGGAACCATATCTTATGTGGCTTTTGCATGGCCAGCAGGTCCCACGATGTGCTCTGGGATCCTGAAGCTTCCAAGAGCTCTTTGGCAACTGCTCTCTGTGCCCACCAATCAAAACCTGAGAATTTCTGAGTTTCATAAAGCTCAGTTGTGTGTGGAACCTCAATCCATAGGAGACATCCCCTGTGGGTCCCTGCCTGCTTCCCCTCCTGTCCCTACACCCTTCCCCACAGTGGTTTCTGGGTACAGCGTGGCCTGAACACCCCTTGGCTGCTGAGTTTTGCTGCTGAATGCAAAAGGGATATGAAAAAGGGAAGTGGTGTGTGTTGCAGAGCCTTTGGAAGAGGTCAGGAAAATCCTGGGGATTTGCTGATGTGGTGCATCTGGAGGAGCCAGGCTCAACCAGGCACAAAAATCTGTTTATGAGAAAACAGCATCAACTGACTTCCTGTTTTGAGGTTTGTGTTAACTAAGACAAAACCCCTCAAGAAACTGAGGTTTTAAGGCAGTGAAGAGCTGCTAGGATGAATTTGGCCATGGTGGTTCCTGCAGGTTTCTGGCACTGATGGCCAAAATCCCCACAACTGCATTCTCCTGGTTAACGAAGTCTTCCCTTCTGGCTCCTCAGCATTCCGCAGCATGGCCTCCCCCCAGGACACATTTACAGGCAGTGAGCCTGATTTGAGCCCCAGGGAAGCTGCTGGAGGCAGTAGCACAGCAGAAGGGCTGTGCCAGCTCCTGTCTCCCTCCCTAGAGATGCCACTTCACTGCTGGGACTGTCCCTAACATCCCTGTGTGCTGGCACCGTCCTGCAGCATTGGGATTTGAGCAGCAAAGTGTGAGGAGGGATGGGTTTTACCAGACCCTTGGGTGTGGTGCTGGCCATGTGGGCTAGTGAGCCAGCATCAGCAGAGGGATGGGTGCTGCTCCCTGCTCTGACAAGCCTGACCCACAGCAGCAGTGGGACAGTGCGACCCCACAGGGATCTCAGCATCTGATGCACAAACTCAGCAAACATCGGGGCTGCACTGGGAGCAGCTCCTGGAGAGGGGGAGAGGGGCTCTTTGTGAGCCCCAAGTCACCCAGTACAGGCAGGATGAAGGACTGGGGACCAAAAGCAGAAGTGAGTCTGGTTTGAGCTGGGTCATAAATGATCCAAAGCACAAAACACGCTGGTGCCCCCAGGACTTGCAGCCGGAAAGGAGCTGGAGCAGGAGGAGTCTCCCTGGGTGGGGAGCCCAGCCTGAAACCCTCACCAGAGGTCACTGCAGAGGACAAAGGTCTCGGTCTCCTCCCATTAAGGGCTTGGGAGTCTCACCTTGAAAGAGCTGGGATGGACAAGCTCCCGGCCCACCGGGACAACACTGGGTCTAGGGCTGAGGCTTGCAGCTTGCTACAGGGTTGGGGACTGCACTGGGGCACCCAGGGAACCTGTGCCCAGTGCAGCAGCTCAGTGTTGTGATTTAGGAATGGTATTCCCCAGTTTAGGACTCCCATCTGTGCCCGGTGAAGCAGCTCAGTGTTGGAGTTTAGGAATGGCATTCCCCAATTTAAGGCTCCCATCTGTGCCCGGTGAAGCAGCCACAGTGTCATGGTTTAGGAATGGTATTCCCCAATTTAGGGCTCCCACCTGTGCCCAGTGCAGCAGCTCAGTGCTGTGGTTTAGGAATGGTATTCCCCAATTTAGGGCTCCCACTTGTGCCCAGTGCAGCAGCTCAGTGCTGTGGTTTAGGAATGGCATTCCCCGGTTTAGGGCTCCCACCGGTGTTTGCTGCTTGCTTCCCCTTTCCCTTTCAGCTAGAAGCACAGAAGACAAAGATCACATGTTGAGAACAATTTACAGTTTAAGAAGAATTTACTAAGAGAACAATTACTAAATTGTTTTAGTAATTTACTAAAGAAAAAATTACTAGAAACAGCAACGAGATAAGAAAACAGTAAGAGCAGCAATACTGATAACAAAATTGTACAGAGAGGGTGATTTACATGCAAAATACTCACCAAGCCAGGGACAATGAAACAATGGCTTCCCTCCACCCACCAGGCTTTCTCCCAACTGGAAAAGAACACCCATTCTTCTTGGAAGAGAGTCCCTGTTCCCTGGCCATGGCAGTGGTGTGAGGGGGAATGGAATAACTCTATGTCTTGGCCCCACCCTGTCCCTCTGGGCCAGAACCAGGACGCGCAGCATTCCTGTCATCCTGGTGGCACCTGGTGGCATCGTGTCTCCTGAGCTCTGTGCTCCTGGCATGGACCTGCAGGAGGAATGCCCCGTGCCCCTGGCAGAGCTTCTGGCCCCATTCCTCTGCCCCCTAACACTATTTCCCCTTTGTTCCTTGCAGTCAGGACAGTTCAATGAAGACATGATCCCGACAGTGGGCTTCAACATGAGGAAGATCACCAAAGGGAACGTTACCATAAAGGTAAGATGCACTTGGCACCACTGGTCAGGGCTCTTGGGATGAAAGAGGTGAGGGAGATTGGTGGCTCTTCTGCTGGAGGTAGAATAATTCCAGGGACCCCAGCTGCAGCTCATAGAATAGAAACATAGCATGGTTAAGGCTGGAAAAACCCTTTAAGATCAAGTCTAACTGTTCCCCCGGGAGAGCCATGTTCTCCACTAAACCAYGTCTCCAAGGGCCACATCCACATGTTTCGTTAACATTTCCAGTGATTGTGATTCCACCCTCTGGAAGTGAAAGATTTGCCCTATTAGGGTCCTGCAGGTGGAAAGCAGGTGTTAGCCAACACAGGAGGGGGTGGGGAGGGGTGTAGGAGATCCAGGCTGGTGCAGTAAGAGCCAGTCCAGGCTGCAAAGCTGGAGGTTTCCTTTTATCTCTGACTTGCTGGTAGGGACTGATGGATGTGGTCACCTTGCTGAGGGTGGTAGTGCTGGGAATAACAGGTCATGGCTTGCAGTGGTGGTGTCTGCCTTGGGAGCAAAGGAAGAGGAGGGTTCTACCTGATCTGAAGCCTTCAAAGACCCTGGGTTCTACTGGGAAATGGCTGTTGGACAGGCTTGAAAAGCTGGCTGGGGGATCTCTGGCTGCTGCAGGAACACTTGAGAGCATGCTGAATGTTCTGAAATGGGAAATATCCCTGGGAAATGCGAGGAGGTGCAATGGGCATGGGGAGGAGCACCTGGCTTGGGCCAGGGGTGTCCCTCCATGCCATCAGAGGCACAACACAGCAGAATTCAGCATCCTCCAGCTGCCCTTCCTGAGCTTTCTCCCTTCTTTATCAAGTCAGGAGCCTCCTCTCTGAGGTTTGAGCTGGAGAGGAGAGGATGGGGTGGGGTTTGATGCGTGGCCAGAATGCCCCAGGTGGCCACACGGGGGAGGAAGAGCGTTGGGCAGGACTGCGGGATGGACAGCACGGTGCTGGGGTAACGCTGCCATCTCCCTGTCACAGCTCTGGGACATCGGCGGGCAGCCGCGGTTCCGCAGCATGTGGGAGCGATACTGCCGTGGAGTGAGTGCCATCGTGTGAGTATCCCGGGGGCAGAGCTCTCCTGGCACCCCTGTGCTGCCGTTGAGCCTTTCCAGTGGGTGGGGGCATCATCCCACCCCGGGGAGCTGCGGTGCCTTCACTGACACCTGTGTCAGGAGTTAGGATCACTGAACCATTGTGGAATTATGAAGGTTGGAAAAGGCCTCTGAGATTGTGGTAGTTCATCATTCTCCCAATCCCTTATCTAAATCCATACATTCTTGTGTTAATTAGGTTTTTTTCCCTCTCCTCCACATAGCCATGGAGATGGGGGAAGTATCGTGGATACCTTGGTGTTCTGCCAGGGTTCAGACCAAGAAAGAGATCAACCATTAACACCACCATATTCACCACTAGACTGTCCCCAGATGGTTTTTGGATACCTCCAGGGATGGTGACTCCACCACTGCCCTGRGCARCCTGTGCCAGGGCCTGACTTTCTTTTCAGGGAAGAAATTTTCCCTRATATCCAACCTRAATCTCCCCTGGTGCAACTTGAGGCCATTTCCTCTGGTCCTGTCCCTGTCCCCTGAGAGAAGAGCCTGACTCCCAGSTGCMTGCCCCCCTGTCAGGGAGCTGGAGAGACTAAGAAGGTCCCCCCAAGCTTCCTTTTTTGGGGACTGATGTCCACATAGGCTTTGAGCAAAGGATAGCCAGGTCTCTCCAGCTGTGGCAGACCCTTCTCTTCCCTTCCAGCATCACTCAGTCCAGCTCTGCTCCTCAGATCTTACCCTTCCAGGCTCCCACGCATCCTCTGAGCTGGCTGCTCACTGCAGAGGCTGAGCAAAGCCCAGTAGAGGGGCTCAGCCCTTCCCAGAGRATTGTTTCCAGGTCATGATGTTTGTGTGCTGCCAGATAAATCTTGTGCTGAGAGCAGGAGTCTCAGTGCAACACCCACTGCTGAGTCAGCAAATCCGAGTGTCCCTGAGCGTCCCCTGCTCACAAAGGGGGCAGTAAAAGCCATCCCAGGGAGTCCAGGCTCGGGGTGAGCATGGCAGGGCGCTCATGGGACACAGGTTGTGTCTTCCAAAGGACAAACACTGATCCTGGGACACCACACTGGGGTTACTTCAACCCAGTCATGCTCTAAATATGCTCAGATATGCTCCAAATATGCTCAAATATGCTCCAAATATGCTCCAAATATGCTCAGATACTTACCCCAGGAGACCATGTCAGGGTTACTTAAACCCAATCAGAAAATGAGATTTACGGGATCTTTCCCAAGTGACCATACCCTGAAATTTGGAGGGCTGATTTCTGTTCTGCTCTTCCCAACTCTAAGCCTTGGCTGGTGAGGAGGAGTGGGACCTCTTGTTCTGTGTGTAGGGATGAACAGTGGTGTCAGCTCCTGCCCTTGCAGATTAGACATGGTGGGACATGGTCTTGGACCTGCAGGAGGGTTTTTGTTACACTTTTTATTACAATGAGCTTTGCTGGAAATGACAAAATCTTTGTTTTCTCCCTCCTTTTGCTGCCTCCTTCCATAATGTCATAATTTTGGCCCACATGGTTGTCAGGAAATAAAAGGACCTGTCAGCATCCAGGTCACACTCCAGTCTGCCCTCATCACATTGAGCTCAAGCTGTGTCACGTCCCTTTTCCTTTGCTCTCAGCCCTCCCCCTGCCCAGCGTGCCAAGGGCTGGGACAATCCCTAGGGGTGTTTTTCCATCTTGGCACAACATTCCCATTTTCCTGTGTTAAGCACTTTAGTAGCTCTTTTTCTATTTTTAAATAACTCCCCAAAGCATGATGAGCTGGATGGTGTTTCTCACTCCTTGTCTCCTGGCTTCTTGATCTTTGAAATCAAGGCTGCTTTGATCAGTTCCTCACCCAAGTTTTGGCTTCACTGACATCCTTTGCAGGATGGAAGTTGGCCTGTAAGAGCGAAATCCTTTCCCAAATCTCCCCTTCTGCTCAGAGCAGCATTGCTGGCCACCAGCCCCTCCCAAGATTACTCCATCAATGGGATAAGGAGGTCCTTCCCCTTCCTGGGTCATTGTCACCTCTCCATCAGCAGGTCCTCTTGCCTTCTCTGCCTCCATCCTGGTGTTGACCTGGGTGATGTCCTGTGCCCACGAGTCTCACTGGACATTTGGGGACAGCGTGTGTCCTGCAGCTTCTGCCTGGGCTTCCCTCACCCAGCCTGTCCCTGCTGTCAGCAGGGGGACACCTGCAGGGACAAGGATAGGGTGGTCCCCCCTCCCCTGGGAGATGTGAGGGGCCCTCAGCACCACAGCTGTCCTTGGTGGAAGGATCCCGTTATCAGCCATCCCCACGTGCTGCCCCAGTGTCCCGTGGAGGAGGTTTGGGGGTGGCACGAGGGCACAAAGACCTGGGCACCTGTGCTCAGGATTTCCCTTCTCTTGCAGGTACATGGTGGATGCTGCTGACCAGGAGAAGATCGAGGCCTCCAAGAATGAACTGCACAACCTGCTTGACAAGCCGCAGCTCCAGGGCATCCCGGTGAGCTGGTGCCTCAGTTGGTGCCCCCAGCCACTCGTGGTCCCCAGGCTGGGCACTGCCAGGGCTTGCAGAGCAGATCCAGGGAGGGATTTCCCTTTCCTGGAGGCATCCCTTCCCTGCTGCACTCCCCCAGCTGGGGCAGTGACGCTTTCTGGGTCAGAACTGGGCTGAGGAACAGAGGGAGCTTTAGGGCAGGGAGCACAGACCAGGCCCCCGTGGGTGAAATCTGCCCTTCCACGTGGGTCTGCACCTGATTCACAGTGTGACAGTGAGGTCCAGTCTCCCGGGAGAGGAGCTGCTGGCCTGTGACACGTGCAGGGGGTGGGACATGGCGCAGCACCAGGCATGCTGCACGTGTGGGTGGGATGTGCTCCAGCCATCCCAAATCAGCATCCTTTGAAAGGAGCTCATTGAGCATCCTGCCACAGATCCCAAATGTCTGCTGCCAGCTCAATTAGCTCCTGCCATACCCCGCTGCAGTCACAGGCCTCTGAACACTCTCTTCTGAGAACAAACCTCCAGATTGAAACGGGGGAGATGCTGCACCCTGTGTTGCTGCATCCTGGGATACTGCATGCTATGCTGCTGCACCCTGTGCTGCTGCAGCCTGAAATGCTGCATCCCGATCCCGTGCTGCATCCCRATCCCGTGCTGCATCCTGATCCCGTGCTGCATCCTGTGCTGCTGCAGAGCCCTGGCACAGGGCGGGTGGCAGCCACAGCCTAGGCACCGCCCCATCAGGTGACAGTCACATGGCTGCTCCGGAGGGACAAACCAGTCCTGCTGGGCGGTTATTTTCCTTCCACAATCTGAGAACGCTTTTGTGGCTGTGAAGAGCTGTGAAGGAGAGATCAGTGATGGCACAAACAGCCGGTCCTGGTTTGTGCTGGTTGCCTGCAGGGTGGGTTGTGCCCAGCATCCGCAGCTCGCTCCTGCTGGGTAACATCAGGGTTGGCCATTTTGCTTGGCTTTTTGCTCAGAGACACTGAGAGGCTCCTGGGAGAATGTCCTGGGTGGCACAGCAGATGCTGGTGCCCTTCAGAGAGGCTCTGCTGTGGAGCCATCTCCACACTGGGGGTAGGGAGTGCACAGGAGATGCTGTGTGCAGGCTAATTGAGCAGTTAATTGTAATGCTCTGCCTCCTGATGCTGCTGAAGGGGGCTGCTCTGAGCCATCCTAGTGGAGGAGCCAGGGCTGTGTCACAAGCAGTCTGTGCTGCTGAATGGCAGAGGCAGGTTCCTGCCTGGTCTGGTGGCTTCAGGTGTCCCCTGTCCTGCCCTGCAGGTCCTCGTCCTGGGGAACAAGCGGGACCTGCCCGGTGCCTTGGATGAGAAGGAGCTCATTGAGAAGATGTAAGTGTGCCAGTGGGACACCCTGGGCAGCCACAGCGAGGCTGTGACCCGCTGCCCGTTCTGCGGTGTCCCCATCAGCACCATCACCTGTCTGGGGTGGCACTGCAATGACACTGTGTGACCCCTGCCCGTTCTGCCGTGTCCCACCATTACCATCACCTGTCTGGGGTGGCACTGTGGTGACACTGTGTGACCCCTGCCCGTTCTGCAGTGTCCCCATCAGCACCATCACCTGTCTGGGATGGCACTGCAGTGACACTGCGTGACCCCTGCCCATTCTGCCGTGTCCCCACCATTACCATCACCTGTCTGGGGTGGCACTGTGGTGTCCAGGGTGGGTTGGCACACACTGGTGGCCGAGAACGGCCAAGGTGACGCCTTGTGGAGACACAGAGGAGCTGGAGTCGCCAGTGCCAGGGCTGGGTGCCACATGGTGGCGTGGGGGCCCGGCACA